TGCCCCAGTGAGTCAGCAACATGGGGGTGGGTGACAGTTTACCCAGCAGTAAAATATACACCCCCCTGACCCCCGCCTGCAGGCAGGTGGGACTCCACGCGTGTCTGGACGGCAGCCGCCGCTCACCTCAGTCCTTGTCGGCACCACCCAGGTTGACCTGTACCTTCGTTAGCGGGTGCTAATTAAGGGAAGCATTCCTCTGACTTCTGGCAGTATTTAAGCTTTAGGGGTGGTTGGGATGGGGGTGTGTGTGGATTTTAACCTGTTGTTTAGCTCCTCTGTGCAGCATCTGGAGAAGCACAGGGGGGTCATTTTAATATTTTTACTGCAGGAAATTCCTAACTTCCTGGCTGTAGTCGATTAATTTCTTGCAAGAGTGCTGTACGTGTGTAAAAACCTATAAGATTATACCTGGTGCTTTTCTTAATGGTCATCAGCACTGGCGGCAAACGGACGCGTGGGGCTGGGGAGCTGCAGTTAATGTGCTGTGTTAGTGCTGCTGCTTCTGAATGTCTCCCCCACCCCCCCCCACCGTCTGCTCATCGGCTGTATACAGCTGCGTCGTGTGTTTTCCTTCACCACTGGGATTATTAAAGGCTGTAAAAAGTCATGTTTCCTGCTGTATCCAGCCTAAGAGCTGACTAACAGGTCTGGAATGGGGAAAAAGACACGTGGGGGTTGTTTTTTTTAATAGTTATCGCTGTTTGTTTGACTGCTTGTTTTCATTCTGAACTGAGGATTATGGGGGAATTACTGCTCCCAAGCAGTGTCTGTGGCCCAAGCCGGTGTTGTTTTAATGTCTGCCCCCTCCCTTCTTCTGAGGGTCCCGGCATGATGAGTGTTGATCTCTGGCTGAGGCAGAAGGCCGGTGTACCTGAGCATGTGGAGATTAAGGGGTCGGGTCAAAGTGCAAACCGGGCGCTGTGCGTATTGAAAAGGGATTACCTGATTGAGTTACTCAAGAGCCAGGTTTTCCACTGCTGGGTGTTTTTGCTTACGGAGTTGGGCCGTGTGTCTGTCTCTGAATGTGTGACGTAGCTTATTCGTTCCTTTGGGAAAACCAGCGTTTTACTTATGGTGATCGACATGGAATGCTGTAAGGCAAACCAAAAGTAAATGTTATTTGTGGTTTCTGGAAACAAGAGTGACAACTAGTGAATGTAATACAACACTGACAAAATCTAACTCTAATACACCTCTGACAAAATGAAAAGAGTAATAATAATAAGCATTGTGTCCACAGGTCTTATCTTTCACCTTTGACCTTACACCTGAAAAGTTACACTTCCTAGTTGAAACTGCGATTTCAGTCAGCTACCTACAGTCATGTATCCAGCCTTACTGAGGGATTCCCCCACATACACGTGTCCTCGGAGTGGACAGCTGCAGCTCAGGATTGCTGAGGCTGTTGCAGGGAACGTGATAACAAGCTTAGACTAACTTTAAACTCGCTACGCTGAACATCCAGGGCTGGGAAGGGCAGATCCCTGAAACACACGCCTCTGATCGAAGGTAAATTCTGGTTTCCTGTCAGGCTGTCAGCAGAAAGGATGTTTATTTTCATAATTCACCATGACTCACGGGCGTAATATGACTGGTCGTCATGGTTAAGTGGACGGGCCGTCGCACCTTCACCCCTGGGGCTTATTTTGGCGGCTTTTGCTGTGACTGTCTGTAAATTTGCATACGTTTATCATAAAATGATGAACTTCTAAAGAAATAAGCAGAGGGCCATTTCACTGGGGAAAGTCAACTTTCGTACACTGATTATTGTTTAGATATGCATGTGTGCCATTCCTCAAGAACAATTAATGAGATAAGTTAGGACCTTCGTTGAAGATCCTTTAAGTATATCAAGCCAATCAAAAAATATGTTGAAGTTGTCATAATCTCACCAAAGATGTCGGGTGATTTAGAATTACCCTTTGGGAAAAAAAAAGTGTCATGTGGCCTCTCACATGACACACGAGCTTTTGAAATGGGCAGGCCGATGAGGAAAGTGCTCTGGGTGGTAGGCTGGTGTCTCTCATTCCCCCCAGCTTTGGATGCTGGCGTTGTAGGTGTGCAGAATTCCCCCTTTTCAGCCCCCGCCAAGTGCGGGGGCCCAAAGCTTGCTCTCCTGGTGTGTTAGGTGTCACTCAGACCGGGAGGAAATGGGAGGCTGACTGGGGGGTGTCCAGCCCTGCCTTCCATCTCTAGCAGCATTGAATCCACCCCCCCCCCTCCCCAGCTTCTGTATATATGCCTCTATTTATTCCCAACAACATACCCTCCACAGAGCCTCCCTGAGCTGTTTCCCATATTGGATTGAGGTGGGTTCAGAAAGCCGACTTTTTTCCTGCACTGGGGGGCAGGGCTTAGCTGGTGACCCCATCAGGTCAGGAGTCCCCCCCCCACTGGCCCACGCTTTGTGACAACCCACTGGCTGTTTGCACAGCTGCAGCCCTCGTGCTCCCGTGACTGGGTGCGGCCCAGGAGGAAACCCTCCAGGGCTGCCAGCTCTGGCTGGGCACCGGGTCGTGACCCTTCCCTCCACCTCCTGCCTAATGGGGCTGGAAAACTATTTTGAAAACTGGCAGCTGTTGTGCGAAAACGGTTAGCAGCCGGTCGTAGTTACATCTGTCACACGTTACTGTAAAGAGCACAAGAGGTGTATGTGTGTGTGCCACAGAGGTGTAGTCAGAGGACAGTGCGTGTCCATGCCTTAGACAGAGGGAAATGGTAGAGAGTTAGTGTTTCCAGACAGTTTCATCCATCCATCCATCTATCCATCCTCCCTCAAACCACTCATGCTGGTCAGGGTCTCTGGAGGCAGTTTAATAGGGTTGCACGTTACGGCTGTGTATTGTAGGAGTAGGAGTCCGGTGCGGCCTGCCCACACAGCCATCACAGTCGGTGCTCACCTGACCTGTTGGCTCTAACGCAGGGAGGAGCCAGCACTGCCCTGTCCCCCATGGGCTGATGGGCAATGCTTTGGCACCCTGCAAACCTGCCCCCCCTGCATTTAAGCCACAGAGCGTTTTGCTCACATCTGCTGCTGCCTTGGAAGGCTTAATACCTTGGCATAATGCATCCTGTATGGGATGGCAAGCAGAGCCAGAGGCAGAAAGAGTGTCCCCCCAGCCCCTGTGAAGGGTGCTACTTTCCTCTGAAGCAGTTCAGGTGATGTAAACCTTTTCCTAAAAGCTACAACCCTGATTATTTATTCTCTTTTCCCCTTTTGCTGCCATTTTGGTACCAGACACATTTTCTGAACCCATCTGCTTCCCACCTACCCCTCCTAGAGGGGACCGGAGCAGCCCTGATCGTAATAGTTACCTCGCTGCGTGACATCCCTTTGTTGCCATGGTGATCTGTCTCCGCTTTGTACGCAGTGACACGGGTGGGGGGTGGTTCTGTTGCACCGATGGAGGGCAGAGGTCGCCTGTACCCCTCTGTTCATCCCTGGCCTCATTCTCTGTCGACATCCACGTCTGAGTCACCAGGCAGCTCTTTCTGAAAATATAACCCAGACTTCCTGAAATGCCCTTTTTCAGAATTTACTGTCCCAGAATTAAAGGGAAGTATCTTTTGCGGTGAACTCCTGCCTAGACAGGGTCAAAGCTGCCCATGTTGCGCAGGGGGGGGGTGAGTGTGGGAGGGGGTGGCTGTGAAGGCCTTGCCCTATCCCCCCCCCTCCTTGTCTGTGTCAGCAGCTCTGCCAGTTGGAGGAAGAAACTCTGCAAAGCAGCTTCCGGAATGTTCTCCTGGGAACCAACTCCAACGCCAGCCCCGCCATGTGCTCGGGCACGTTCCCGCCCCCCAACAGGATCAGTCGGGTCATCCTATCATCTTCTTTTGAAACCGATTAATGAATGTTTCACGCGACGTGATATTCTGATTAGACGAGGATGGTGGGTGTGGATTCAGACATTGGTAGTTTCAAGCACCAGACTCCAGAGCAGGGGTCTTAAACTCCAGTCCTGGAGCGCCGGAGGACTACAGTTTTTGGTTTCACCCTCATTTAACACACCTGATTCAACTCCTTGTTCTAATTACCACACAGCTCTTGAGCTGAATCATTTGTGGTGGAAGGGGGAAAGAACTAAGCTACACAGGGCTCTGGCCCCCCAGGACTGGAGTTTGAGACCCCTGCTCTAGACATTTGTGCAAGAGCATTAAGCAAAGTGACTAGCCTGAATTTGGTTAAAAAGTCACCTTCGATGTACTGACACATGGATATGCGAACCAAAGGGGAGAACATGGCCTCTTTCAGGTTGGGGTTCGGGGCTCTCGGCTGGAGGGAGAGAGAGACATCCAGCCCTCCCTGTCTTACCACAAGATCATATCTGCTGCTCTGTTACGTCTGCATACATCAGTTTTTTGTTGTGCGTGGTTTTTTTTTTTTTTTACAGTTCTGGTGTGTTTAAGCAAATTAAGTTTGCTGACTCTATTTTGGGTTGGTCTTCACAACCACCTTTTTCAGATCCTGTCAGTCCACTGGAGCAGATGCTGGTCTCCTGGGTGTCTCTCTGGATTGGATAGGTTTTTTCCTCCGATTGTTGAATTTTCATTCTGAAATTGCTTCTTATCAGTAACTCTCAGCTTGTTAAATGGTTTTGGCCAGACATACCTGGTAGTGTAATGGGACCAAATGGTGGGAAATTCCCCTGCATTTAAACCTCTGTGTGACCCAACACTGCGATGTCACTTGCCTTGCCTTGTCATGTGAGTGTTTTTGGCCGCATGGCCTTCATGGGACAGACTCATTGGATTCTGAAGGTGTGAATGGGTGGGGATTCTGCGCAAAGACTGTCTTTAGGATGAATTTCACTTTAAAATGTTTTTTTTTTTTTTTTAACACTTGTTCAGACAGCCGGAAGGTTCACACAGAAGTTGGAGCAAGATTTTGCTAATAGTTTAACTCTGGGAAATAATGTGGGCAAAATCACCCCTGGATACCACGGAAATAGTGGTGTAGCTGTCCAACATCCCCTTTGTGTGTGCTTGTCTTTGGACAGTTATGACAGCACATTTCCGCCTGCCTACTGGGAGATCCTACGATGTCCGAACGTCGGAGCTGGCACGAGACGGGCAGCACGCCGAGGTGGTCTGTAACATACATCTCCTGGACAACACTGTTCACGTCTTTAGAGTCAACGTAAGTACCACCGGTGTGGCCATGATTTGGCCGTTTAGGGGAGCCATGCTGCGCCTAATACTGAGGTCACATGATCACCTTCAGAGACCTGGGACAGGGGACCAAATGTTTAGAGAGGAGTTTAGTGTGATGAGACAAACCTGCCATTATCACCCCAAAACAGATTTAGGACAAGGGGTCCAGGTGCTTGGTGGATCAGGGGTTTACTCTTAGAACTTTGTTACCCCATAGTGTATCCTGGGGGACACACCAGGTTGTCATTACCTTCTGCAAATGCCTGACATTCCAGTGTAAATATGCCCCCCCCCACCCCCTCGATGCTAGCAGGGAACTCAGAATGCCATGTGGAGTGCTGTGTTATTGGGGGTTCATTTTTATTTGATTGTTTGATTTTTGTAATTATTTATAACATGTACTGTTCACACCTATTGGCGGGGCGGGGTTGTAGGATGGTAGGGGGGCATTTTCAGTTGCTTGGGCTTTGTAAGAGGAGCGAGTCGTGGTGTGAACTCAGCAGGAGGCCCTGTGTCCGAGGCGTCTCCTGACGTGTCGGCTCATGGCAGTGAATCACGCTGCCAGCTCACGGTCCAACGGTCTGTCGCCTGTCTCACGGGACTAAATTTAAGGACGTCATATCTGAAACTGATGCGGTGTCTAGTTTTAAGGTTGGTCAAAATAAAGGTGCTTTTCACCAGTGAGATTTATTTAGATATAAAGCAACATAAAAATATCTTGTGCTTGGTAGAGTCCCATGGGGCCGACATCTCCCACTGTGCGGAGACACGTTTGAAGACGCGTCGCACCATCCGCCCTGAATCTCCTTTTCCATCCAGTGGATGGTGCTGATTAGTCTCCTCAGGCTCAGACGGAGCAACAAACACCCATTTGGGGTGGGAATATTGAGTCAGGCTGAGGTACCAGCGAGCAAGCTACAGGAAACTGAGAAGGGAGCAAGACTGTCCGACTGGTGGGGGGGCGGGGGATTTTGGTAGCTGGAGGCAACAAGCTAACAGCACAAGGCCCCTTGGGTTCTGCTGGGGATTGGGCAAACAAGCACATGTCCCAGCCAGTGGAGCCCCTGTGCCAGGTTGTGGTTTGGCAAGGCGTGGCACAGAGAAGTGGCTGTGTAAACCGCCCCCCCCCCCCCCCCCCCCGGGGCAGCCTGGCGAGCATTGCTCCTCCGTCGCGTGTTCCTGCGGCTCGTGTGTCTCCTCTCCTGGCCGGCTAACAAGCTGCCTCACGTCCCCCCGCATTTCTCTCATACCTTCTCCGCTATGATGTCACCGTAGCCTTGCTGTAATATTATCTTTGCCATCCAGTCTCTTGGCATCTCCCTGCTTTTATCTTTCCGCCTGATGTTTTACTGTGGCACTACGGACCCGGGGTACATTCTACAGGTCAAACGGGCCAGATGTCTCCACTCTGTGGTGGCTATAGCAGCTCTGTGCGTGGCATTGTGAGCAACTTGACATCAACCAACATACTGGACCCTCTGTTTTTCAGTTCTTTGATTTATGTTCTTTTTTTGTGTGTCTGTCTTATGTTTGTTTACATGACCGGTGCTCTTCTGTACAGGAAGTTGAGCCTATGGCTGTGGTACCACCACGGTATGATACGCATCAGAGCTGACTCGGAGCATGCTAGTGCAAGCTGGGCCGTTTCTCACCGCGTCTCTCTCTTCCCCTTGCTGTAACCCCTGGCACGTTTCTGCTTGTCTTCCCTCCCCACTCTGAGATATTTACCTTCGGGGGGGGGCAGAGCTTAAGGGATCCCCCACCCACCATTGAAAAAAGGGTGTGCTTCCTTGACCCCTGTGCTGTGTCCCTTATATTACTTACACCGTAGGTGGTGCTGACTATTCCACTGTAAACATCTAACGAGGGTGAATGCAGTATATAGGTTCGGAAATTTAGGTGGGATGCCCCACTGCTCAACAGAACCATCCAGTGTGCCCCCCCCACCCTTTCTTTGCAGTGGACATTTGAGATGAATACATTTTGAATTTTTTCATATTTTTAAACTTCAGCCAAAAAGTCTTCAGCTCCCACCCCCATCCTGTGCTTATAGAGTTTGAGTTCATTAACATGATGTATGTAGATAAGCACCTGTACAGTGCATTGTGGGAAGTTTTGCGCCCCAGTGGCTGTCCGTATTCCCCCAACCTAGCCTGTTTGAGCTCCGGGCTCAGGAGGACCCGTGGAAATTGTGCAGAGTCTTCTGTCCTTGCCCAGCACCCGCTGCATTTTTTTTAAACCCCTGACCATGTTGCCATGGAGACAGGAAGGAGCTTGACGTCTGTGTTGTGAACCCGTGAGAGAAATGGCGGACAGATTGGGTAAATCTGCTTGCGCGATTTCAAATGGAAACATTCATGGCACCGTTTAAAGCTGCATTTCTTTTGGAGGAGGGGTGATTATGTAGCTCTGTGACCCGTCTTCCTCTCCAATTGGCTCATCAGAAGCACGACCAGGGACGCGTCTTGCTGGACATAGTCTTCAAGCACCTGGAGCTCACTGAGAGAGACTATTTCGGGCTGCAGCTGACGGACGAGTCCTCGGACAGCCCGGTGAGTCGTCCTGCGTTTCCCGGAGCTTATTTGGTTCAGGAAGCTGGACTTTTTTGGGACATAATGACCCTGTGATCTGGCTGAATTGCACTCAGTGTAAACCTTAGCCTCATAAAGTTGAACTGAAAGTATTTTTTTAAGGAAATATCTTAAAATTAGTCTTGGGATTGACCAAATGACTAGATGTTTTGTACTTCAGTTAAATCCAGGTATTTTCACTTTTAAGTTTCAAACGGGCACTACAGTTGCCCTCGTCATTCATTACACCACTGCTGCTAAGTGTCTCTCTGTCATGACCCTGCAGAGGTGGCTGGATCCCAGCAAGCCCATCAGGAAACAGTTAAAAAGTAGGTGGGCCTCAGTCAGCGATAGCACCATCACCGGTCCCCCATCCCACGCTTACCCACCATCTCCTTCTTTTTCAGGAGGCTCCCCACACACCTTCAACTTCAGAGTCAAGTTTTTTGTGAGCGACCCAAATAAACTCCAGGAGGAGTACACAAGGTGGGGGCCGGGAGGGGTTCTCTGGACCCACTCGCAGCTGGGGAATCTACATTTATTTTTATTTAGCGAGCAGTTTTCTCCAAAGTGATATACAAGTGAGGCAAATGACACATGACAACCTTTACAGCTGTCAACGAGTTGACTCTACATGAGTGCAGCTAGATTGAGCTTCCAGTGAATGCCCAAATACAATCGTAAGCAGTACTGGAAAAAGAGCTAAAGAACAACTTTTAACAAAGGAACCTAATAAGATGACTATCCAAATAAATCCTCTGCAATCCTAAGATCATGCAGGGAGCATGTAGTGGTGTTGGACTAGTAGACACATATTCCTGGAACAGACTGGTTTTGAGGCTTTTCCTGAAAGTGGAGAGGGAGTCTGTAGACCAGATGTGGCCTAGCAGCTCTTTCCTCCGTCCGGGAACCGCCTGGAGTGAGTAGTCTAGCATAGTGAAGGGACATGCTTTTGCCTGCCTGTTCCTCCGTTCTGGAAGCTGGATGATGTGCAGCAATGTTCCTGCCCATCAAGGCGCGCCCTGCCACATTCATGACCTCGCATGACCTGAGTGTGTCCAACCTTTCTTTTGGGTGTCGGTGATTATAAAGTGCTGTGACCCATCTTGAGTGTGTCCGCTTCTCCGCCTCCTCTCTAGGTACCAATACTTTCTGCAAATCAAGCTGGACATTCTCAGCGGGAGGTAAGTGACCGTCGGGACACCCAGGTTTGCGCCCTACCATGAGACAACGTGAACTTGTGGACTCTCTTCTGGCTGACACCGTCCCATGTGTCTACTTCAGGCTGCCTTGTCCACACAGCACAGCCGCTGTTCTGTCCTCGCTGGCCGTCCAGTGTAAGTACAGCCCTTTTGTCTGGTTTGAGGAGTGGGTGTGAACTGGATGGTGTTTGTATTTTGATTGGCCAACCAAAATAGGAGGTGGACCCTGCTATTCATCTTTAGACCATTTTAATTTAGGGAGTGGGTGGGTAGGGCAGAGTACAGCTCACGAAGATTTAGCAGCTGTTTTGTGTGCCGTCTTCATCGCGACGGGATATTTAATCAGCATCGCATTAGGTTTGCTTCTCCCGCCCAGTGTTTGCGACACAGAGCAGCTGCAGCATCCAGCTCCTCCCACGTTCGCCCGTTTCTAGTTTGTTTTGATTCTGACAGCAGAAATTCTACCATGTTTCTGAGCCCTCCATGATTTGCTTATAAAGCCCCGTTATCTGGAGCTTCATATGGCAGCCCCTAACCCCTAACCCATCCCCCCATCCCCCTGTCCCTCTTTTTCATGGGAGCACAGCGACTAACCTGGTACATTCTCAGCCCCCTGGGTGGGCGGGGACTGGTGACAATGTTTTGGCCAGTAAATGGGCAAATCCAAGGTGGGAGCCGTGGGGATATGCCACAGAGTGTAACTGTGCCTGACTGGCTCTGTGTTCCAGCTGAGCTGGGAGACTACAGCCACGTGGAGCATCTGTGCGGCTACCTGGCGGAGTACCGCTTCATTCCAAACCCGCCGGCTGACTTCGAGAAGGAGGTGGCCAAGCACCACCAGCAGCACGCGTGAGGATGCCGCGATCACCACCACACACACACACACACACACACACAAACGGGCCCCCACTGTGACACACCCCTCTCCCCTATTTTCACTGTGTCTATGTGCCTCCTCTCCCCTACAGAGGACTGACCCCAGCCCAGGCAGAGTTCAGTTACCTGAACACAGCAAGAACGCTGGAGCTCTATGGGGTGGAGCTGCACTGTGCCAAGGTAAGCTGTCTCCATGGCTGAGTTGTTTCCTGGGGGTCAAACGACAGGAGTTATGAATAATACACTCCACACAGTCAGGAACATCGACAGGGAAGGGGGGATGCTGGAAACCTGCCAGTGCCTTCTGCAATAAATAACCCCACCGAATATGAAATGGGTTAAACCAGTATGTGGTTGACATGTGTAATCCTGGGCTCTAGCTCTGTGACCCTGACTAGGATGAGCTGTCAGAAGTTGATGGATGTGTAATCCTCTGCATCACAGATTTCAAGATGTTTTTTTTCCCCAATATTTATTATTTATTATTCATCCATCCATCCATCCATCCATCCATCCTGTAACCATTTATCACTGGTCAGGATTACAGTGGCCCTGGAGCCTAAACCTGGCAGCAAAGATCATAAGGGAGGGATACACAGATACACCGTGGACAGGAGAATGTGTGTATGAATATAATAGTGTTTTGCTGAGACATGAAACCCTCAACTGGAAGATTGGATGGATGGATGGATGGATGGATGGATGGATGGATGGATGGATGATAAACTGTAATCCTGCCCTTTGACATGGTTTCCTCAGATGCCATACAGTGAGAGAAATAGTTATTTGACCTCCTGTTGAGTTCCCAGGTTTACCCATTTATAAAGAAATGAGAAGTCTATCATTTCAATAGTATGTTTGTTATAACATCAGAAGATAGATTTTCAACAAAATAAACAAGAAAAAATCATTATGTAACAGGTACAAATCAATTTAGGGAAATTATTATTTGATTCCCTATAAACCAGCAAGAAATAGGGTCAAACACAACACAAGTAGTACTTAATTAAGTATTAGCAGATACCAAGCCAGCATTCTCATTTAATGGCATTACTTTGCTAAACAGTATTCTTCGGTCACTAACCTGTCTACATTTTCAACTTTATCACCATGGGAAATACCAAAGAACTGTCTAAGGACATCAGAGACAAGATTGTTCACCTTCACAAAGGTGGAATGGGCCACATGACCATCAACAAGCAGCTTGGTGAAAGTGAGACAACTGTTGGTGCAATTATTCTCAAATGGAAGAAAGACAAAATAACTGTCAATCACCCTTCTGCGCCCCCAAGGAAGATCTCATCTCATCCAACATCAATGATCTTAAGAATGGTGAGGGCTAACCACAGACCTACACAGGAGGAGCTTGTTAATGATCTCAAAGCAGCAGGGACCACAGTCGCCAAGAGAACCATTGGTAACATATTGTGCCGTTATGGTCTGACATCCTGCAGTGCTTGCTAAGTACCCCTGCTCAAGAGGGTCGATGTTCAGGCCCTTCTGAAGTATGCCAATGTACACCTGAATAATTCCAATGAGGCTTGGAAAAATGTGATGTGGTCAGATGATACCAAAATCAAGCTGTTTGGCATCAACTCTACTCGTCGTGTTTGGAGGGAAAAGAATGCTGACTATAACCCCAGGAACACCATCCCTACCGTCAAACACAGACGTGGAAGCATTATGCTTTGGGGGTGTTTTTCTGCCAAGTGTACAGGACGGCTGCACCGCATCGAAGGAAAGATGGACAGGGCTATGTACCATAAAATCTTGGATGAGAACCTCCTTCCTTTAGCTAGGGCACTGAAAATGCATTGTGGGTGGGTCTTCAGTAAGACAGTGACCCTGATCATATGGCCAAGACAACAAAGGAGTGGTTTGAGAAGAAGCACATTTAGGTCATGGAGTGCCCAAGCTAGTCTTCGGACCTTAATCTCATAGAAAACCTATGGAGGGAACTCAAGCTTCATGGATCCAAGTGACAGCCTAAAAATCTTAAAGATCTGGAGGAGGTCTGCAAAGAGGGGTGGGTGAAAATTCCTGCTGACCTGGATGCAAACCTGGTGACCAACTACAGGAAAGGTCTGACAGCTGTGCTTGCAAACAATGGTTACTCCATCAAGTACTAAAGCATGTGTTCCAAGGGATCAGATTTCCCTATATAAATAAATTTGCTTGTAACTGTTACACTATGATTTTTTTCTTGCTGGTTTTGTTGATAATCTATGTTTTGTTGTTAAGATTTCTTTATTTATTGGTCAACTTAAGAATTCAGCATAGGGTCAAATAATTTCCCTCACTGTATCTGATAATGCATTGAAAGAGTATGGCGTCACCTACCATTCCCTTCACAGTCACCGCGTTAGTTACCATGGTACCTTCCTGCCTACACACTCCTCCTGTTCTCCTCCTTTTCACTGCAGGATTACAGCAACACAGAGATCCAAATCGGGGTGATGTCCTCGGGAATCATCGTTTATAAGAACAGAGTACGGATCAACTGCTTCGCATGGTAAGTTCAGATCCTCGAAAGTCCCTCTTGTGGCGTTACGAGAGCGAGCGGAGCTTTCCCTGGCTTTGCGTGGGGGCAGGTGGGGGGGGGGGCAGGCTGAGGTCAGCAGTTCCCTGCAGCCCAGCTGGCGGGAGTGCACGTGAAAAACCTGGAGTGTGGCCAGACGCCGGGGGTGAGACCACGGACACGTTCCACGTGGCTCAGCAGAACGTTGGCCTCCGTTCACACCCCTCCCCCTCCCCAGAGGTCATGTGATGGGAAGTGGCCAGTCAGAAGCCAGGTTCTGGAATGTAAACACATGGGCTGTTAAACAGTGTCCCTGACCTTCTCTGACCCCCAGGTACCTAAGTGCCTAAGTGCAGACCAGGCGTGCCACTTTAGGTTGGATTTTAGCATGTATTTAGCACATGTTATTTAGTGCTGAATGCTTGAAATGGTAACGTGGCATTTTATACTGTCCACTAATATATTTTTCAGGGTTCCATACCTTATACCATACTTTATTTTTCTGGGTTCTCCATATATATTTATATATTTATATTTATATATTTATATATTTATATTTATATATTTATATATATATATTTATATATATAT